CTCTCTCTCTCTCTCTCTCTCTCTCTCTCTCTCTCTCTCTCTCTCTCTCTCTCTCTTTCTCTCTTTCTTTCTTTTTCTTCCTTTTAGCTCCCACTTATGAGTGAGGGCATGTGGTATTTCTCTTTCTGAGCCTGGCTTATTTCACTTAATGTACTTTTCTCTAAGTTCATCCGTGTTGCTGTGAATGGCAGAATTTCTTTCTTTTTTATGGCAGAGAAGTATTCCATTGTGTGAATATACCATATTTTCCTTATCCAGTCATCTGTTGATGGACTTTTAGGTTGGTCCCAACTCTTGGCTATAGTCAACAGAGCTGCAATAGACATGGGAGTGCAGGTGTCTCTTCAATGCGATGATCTCCATTCCTTTGGGTATAAACCCAGCAGTGGGATTGCTGGATCGTGTGGCAGTTCTGTCTGTAGTAATTTGAAGAACCTCCATACTGTTTTCCGTAATGGCTGCAGTAATTGACAGTCCCACCCACAGTGTAGGGTGGGTCCGTTTTCCCTGCATTCTCACCAACATTTGTTAGACTCTGTCTTTTTGGTAATGGCCAGTCTAACTGGGGTGAGATGGTATCTCAGTGTCATTTTGATTTGCATTTTCCTGATGCTGAGTGATGTTGAGCATTTTTTCATGTGTCTGTTGGCCATTTGTGTGTCTTCCTTTGAGAAATGCCTATTCAGCTCCTTTGCCCATTTTTTAATCAGGTTACTTGTGTTTTGCTAAGTTGTTTGAGTTCCTTGTACATCCCTTGTCGGATACGTAGTTTGTGAATATTTTCTCCCATTTCGTAGGTTGTCCTTTCACTTTACTGATTGCTTCTTTTGCTGTGCAGAAGCTTTTGAGTTTGAAATAGTCTCATTTGTTTATCTATTTTTTGTTGTTGTTGCCTGTGTTTTGGGGATCTTATTCATAAAGTCTTTGCCCAGTCCTATTCTTAAAGTGTTTCCCCTATGTTTTCTTCTAGTTTTATAGTTTCAGGTCTTATATTTAAATCTTTAATCTATTTTGAGTTGATTTTGGTATATGGTGAGAGGTACGGATCTAGTTTCATTCTTCTGCATATGGATGTCCAGGTTTGCGAGCCCATTTGCTGAATCCTTTTCTATAAAGGACACCGATATGGAAGAGATGTCCCACATGGGCTGTGATGGGCTGTCGGAAGTGCTGGGTCCCAGAGCCTTGAATCCACAATGTTCCTGAAGCTGGGTAGGCAGGAGGAGGGTCACAGCACCATTTGCTGAATCCTTTTCTATAAAGGACACCGATATGGAAGAGATGTCCCACATGGGCTGTGATGGGCTGGGTCCCAGAGCCTTGAATCCACAATGTTCCTGAAGCTGGGTAGGCAGGAGGAGGGTCAGAGCTGTGTGCAGTTCATGCTGGAAATCCCACGGGGAATGTGTGAATTTGTTTCATGTGTATTCAGTGTCTCCTTTGGGCTCCCTCATGCAGCCAGCCAGAGCAGGGGGACTCAAGAGAGCTGTGTGCAGTTCATGCTGGAAATCCCACGGGGAATGTGTGAATTTGTTTCATGTGTATTCAGTGTCTCCTTTGGGCTCCCTCATGCAGCCAGCCAGAGCAGGGGGACTCAAGCCTGTGTGGGGTCTGTGCAGTCACTGTCTCTCCCGACCCTTCCTGGAAAAACTGCAGGGAGTTTACTGAGGAAATGTTGGATGAGTTAGCACTCTCCTAGTCTGGTGCTTCTTCTAATTGTGCACTGGCACTGGTGATTGCTGGGGTGAGATAAAAGAGGTTGCCTCATTTGACCCTTCCTAAGCCACCCTGCAGACTCCCCTACAGTGGAGGTGAGCATCTTGCCTGGGTCTGTGTCTTGAGGGGCTGATGGACATGGGAAGGATAAGCCTCCATCACACTGTCTCTCTGCAAATAAACCCACTGGGGAGAAGCTGAGAAAGCCCCTCCCTGGCTTTTCTCTGGCATTCCACCCAGGCCTGAGCAACCTCTGCCTGCAGCAGCTCTGAGCACATGCCCTGGACATGGCCTGTGATGGGGGCACTGGCACACTAGCTGCTCCATATAGGACAACACCCTACAGCTCACCTCAGGCCCTCTCCTCAGTACTCGACGGTCCCTGCATCTGCAGCACAGATGTGGAGCCTGCTGGGCTTTGCTCAGGGTGTGCAGAGACTCCATCTCTGACAGGCTGTCTGAGCAGCCCACACACTGTGTGCTGTTAACGGTCTCCACCCCACCCTCCACCCAGCACGAGGGGCAGGTGATGTTTCATTGCTCCCTGAGCTCAGTCTCTCCATCTGTTGAAAATAAGTTAAATTAAATTTACAGCATCAGGGTCAGCAAAATGGCAAAGCTGACCTTCTAGAGTAGGCTCTGAGAACCCATGGCCATGGGGGTCACGTTGTCAGCAGGTGGATCTTAAGTGCTCAGTAGGTACATCCAGAAGAGCCAACCAACCAACCAGATGACGAACAAGACACAGCTGACATCTCAGAATTGTGGCGACAAACTTACCACCTCCACAGGGCACTTAGGAGTTTGATTCGGTTTTATCCCGGGTGTGTTTTTAAGTTCTCAGTAAGGGTTTAAGCATCTGTACTCCCACCACCAGGGACACTGCTGCCACCACAGGGCCCACCCTGGGTCCTGAGATATAGAGCTGGGGGTTGCCCCTTCCTCCTGCCACCAATACCAAAAACACTGCTTCCATGCAGGTGGCCCACCACAGCCACCACAATAGCCATCACTACCACAAAAGCAGCTAGATACCACAGCAGTAGCCACAGCCACTTCACTGCATTGACACAAGGAGAGTCACCAGTAGAGACAAAAAAAGAGGACATCTCTCTTCACAAAGCCACTCCAGAGTGATAGAAGAAACATCTGCTCTATGATAATATTGGGGGACCTGAACACCCCACTCTCAGCACTGGACAGATCATCTAGGCAACAAATCAACAAGACAAACCATTAATCTTTCAGAAGGAGAGAAGAAATCTAGGTTAATTAGAGGGGGAGGGGGAGGGAGAGGGGGTTGGGGAGAGATTGGACAAGGGGCATAAAGAATAAGTATGATTGGTAATAATGAATATGCTAATAATATTGATTTGATCAACATATGTTGTACACAGGTGACTGTTGTCAACGTTGAAACCCCAAAATATGTGTAATTAGATATGCTTCAATAAAAAAAAATAAACAAATAAACATCCATAATATGGTCAGAGTATGGTCCACTGAGACTGTATGTCCATCCATTTTTTCCCACAGAAGGTGACTCCCCTGCAATTCGGCCCCCGACATCAACGCCTGGGGGTGTCACCTATGGGGAGCAGGAAACCTCAGCTGTCCTCACAGGGCTGAGCCAGCTGAAGGACAGCACCCACCACCTGCACCCAGTGTGCAATCTTTTCCAAATGTCGCTGCCCATGGGACAGTCTCCCCCTGTGGGTTGGCCTGAGTGTGCGTTCCCGAGCTCAGCTGGGAAGCGTGCGTGAGGACCCCCCCACCAGAAGCGCAGCTACCACCTGGCCCACCCAGACGGTCGGCCACCCCAGGAGGAGGCCCAGCTGGAGCCTGAGCCCACGTCTCCCACTCGTGAGCCTCGCAATGGCCCCGACTGGCCTCCCAGCTCACACCAGCTGCTTTACACTCTGTGCTGTCTGCCATGGCCAGACAGACAGCCATTCCTTCTAGAAAAGGCCAGACTCCTCTGCAAGCCTGCCAGGCCCTCAGGGATTTCCTGCACAACAACGCTGTCTCTTCCGGGAGATTCTTTGCCCTCCCCAGCTCCCACCCTGTTCCCTGCACAGTTGACTTCCCTCATGTTCTAGCCATCGGTCCAGCTTCATTTAAGGAGACTGTCCCTGTGCCCCAGACAAGGCTGCGCCTGGACAGTGCCCGGCCATTCCCCCTCTGGTCCTTCAGCACCATGTCTGAGCGACGCCTGCCAGGACCAGGCACAGCACAGCACAGCACACAGCAGGCCCTTCTGGGAGGCAACTCCGTGTACAAGGGTGTGTTAGCGGTGGTGGGTCTGCAGGGGACAAGGACACTTAGCATCCCTGGGCTTCATTTTCTGTTCTGCATTGGGGGTAGTAATGATGAAAATCATCTCTCCATCGTAGTGGTTGTGAAATTTAAAAGAGTTAATAGTTAAAAGAGTTTAAAACGGGCTTGAAACATAGTAAATGCTACGTGATTGACGAAGTGACGTTGTAACACTGTGATGAGGAGCGGGGTCCCCAATGGACTAAAGGGTTTTATGCAAACAGTAAAACCAAAAAGCTAGTAGGAGAACTACACATGGGTATAACTTTGTTACTGAAGGGTGGGAAAGAACTTCTGAAATAAAACTTCAAAAGACAAAACACAAAGCCTGAGAGAGAGAGAGATAATTTATTACATGAAAATTAAGAACTTCTGTTTAACAAAGGACAACACGGGCACAGTTAAGACATTGGTGACTTATTGACAGATTTTTTTTTTCTAATGGCCAAAATTAACAGAGGACTAATATCTAGAATATGCAAAAGCTTCTATAATTTTGAAATAACAGAAGGAAGCAGCAACCCCAAGTGAGCAGGTAATGTACAGAAGAGAAAACATAAAAATACAGCGGGCGTGGAAAAGGCTCTGAACACCTGGTCCTGACTCTCTAGTTAATAGACAAACACAAACACACACTGGGGCGTGTCCACTCCTCACCTGCCCTGCAACGGCGGGAGGTGCCGGGTCTGGGCCCAGGTGGGGGCGCTGGTCCCTCCCGCACAAGGGGGATGGAGACCCTGCAAGCTGCATGTCTGTCCTGAGCATGCACCCACGGAAATCCTCCTGCAGCAGGAGGAGTGGTCAGCTGTCCCCAGGCACTGTCCCCGGTGCCACCGCGGGGGAGCACCACGGCCCACACAGCCACTGACAAGATGCTCTGGAGCAAACTGGACCAGCATGGGCAAAAGGCAAGGAGGGGGTGAGCCCTCCAATAGGACAGGCTCGTGTCAACTTTAAATGCACGGAGAAACTGCAGGTATTAGGTGCACACAGGAGACGGGGCTGCCCCTGCCGGAGGGAGCAGAGCTGGAAACAGGAAATAACTGGCTCTTCTCAGGCTGTGTCAGGCCAGACCCCGAGGAGCCCAGTAACTTTATCCTTGTCCCCTGGAGTTGAAAGGAAAATGAGAGAAAAGGGCGGGTTTATTGAACAGGCAAATGTTCTATGGAAACGTCATAGTGAATTATTCTGCAGCGCTGGGCAGTGCCTCAGCAAATTAAACAGAAGTATCATATGATCCGGCAATTCCACCTCTGGGTATATGCCCCAAAGAATTCAAAGCAGGGACATGAAATGGCATTTGTACACCCATGTTCATAGAGCAGTGTTATTCACAATAGTCAAAAGGTGTAAGTAACCCGCGCCCACTGACAGATAAATGGATAAACAAAATGTGGCATGTGCTTACAGTGGGATACCATCCGCCTTAGAAAGGAAGAAAATTCTGGCACACACTGTCCCGCGGATGAACCTTGAGGACATTATGCTGAGTGAAATACACTGGTCACAACAGGACAAATACTGTATAAGTCCACATACATGAGGTTACTAGGGTGGTCAAATCCATGGAGAGAGAAAGGGGCTGGGGCAAGGTGGGAGTAGGGAGCCATTGCTTAGTGAGTACCGAGTTTTAATTTTGCAAACTGAAAAGTGTTGGTGGTGACGTTTGCATGACAATGTGAATGTCCTTCATGCCACTGAGCTGTGCACTTAAACATAGTTAAATAGAATTGGAAGATAATGCTAATATGTATATGAACTTTTTGAACTACTCTCATGCATATTTTATTAAAAAACAAATATTTTTGAAAAGCCTTTTCTAATTTTTTCCTAGCAGTAGCTTGCATTTATTAAGTGCTTTCTGTGCACCAGCAGATGCTCTTCCACACACTGTGTCTTTGTTATTTTTCTTAATTTTCATGATAAGCTCATGAGGAGGGTGCTATCATTATCTCTACTTTTCAAAATAAGAAAATCGAGACCAGAACAGTTAAGCACCTTATCCAAGGTCACAGAGCATATGAGGCTTGAACCCTAGCAACGTGATGCCAGACTCCTCATTCTTAGCTGCTATTCTATTCTGCTTCTAAAATGAGTGAGCAATTGGTACTTCATAAGTACTAAATTGTTAAGTTGTTGTTGATTTTGTTGCATCATGGGATCTTAGGTCAGTTGCTCTGCAGCTCTGTCCTTCCTCAGATGCAAAACTGACGTTCAGAATCCCCTCATGTGGCGAGACCTTCCTGTGCACAGTTGCAGTAGCAGGAGGTGCCCCCAAATCAGAGTGAAACAGTCTCCCAAATGACAAGCCCCTGACTCACCCACTCAGGGGGTCTTCTGAGATTGTCTCCCATGATATCAAAGGTCCAGTTTGTTTAAATCCTACTTACTTGCTGTGTGATTGTGGGCAAATGACTGCTCTGCACCTCTGATTCCTATCTAAAACACGGACATCACAGCACCTTTGTCACAGAGTCACCATGAGCATGAGTCAGTGGCCCTTGGGCCCTGGGACCTGTGGACACAAATGAGATCTCAGCAGGGTTAATCTGCAGACCCCACTGGCTCAGGACCCCACCAGCTCATCAGACCACTCAGGCTGTATATTCATTTTGGACTCAACATGAGACTAAATGCTTGAGTAGGAGATGCACCCATACACAGACAGATGCAGAGAGAATCTGCAAAGCCTCATCTGTGCTAAATACAGAGTCACCATTATTTTTATTTCTTTAAACGACACGTCGTTGCGTCAAGGTGTCATAATGTCGACATTAACAGTCTTGGAGTTATTAATCTGCAGACCCCACTGGCTCAGGACCCCACCAGCTCATCAGACCACTCAAGCTGTATATTCATTTTGGACTCAACATGAGACTAAATGCTTGAGTAGGAGATGCACCCATACACAGACAGACGCAGAGAGAATCTGCAAAGCCTCATCTGTGCTAAATACAGAGTCACCATTATTTTTATGTCTTTAAACGACACGTCGTTGCGTCAAGGTGTCATAATGTCGACATTAACAGTCTTGGAGTTTGGATCTTATTTCCTGACTAACCCCCACCCATGTCGACGGGAAAACCTCCCAGAGGAATCTCTGAACTTCAGTATGCACATTCCTGGGGGAAGGGAAGACGTTCCGAGGCTTACACAGGCACGTGTGTTTTAGGGGAGTCTACTTCTGGATTCCCATTTTCCATAGGTACCGACTCCTAACGCTGTCTGCCTGCAGCTGCCTGCAGAGGAGGTGGCTGTCCCTCACCGCACTGCACAGAGCTGCCTCCTGCCTCCTGCTCTGACGCATTCTTCCCAAGGGACCTGGACGAGGGACATGACCACTCAGGTGCCCCAGAGACCGTTTAAGGGGATGACTCCGCGAGGGGGGGGTGGATTCTTTTTTTCTCAACACAATTGAAAAAGAATTCTACCCTGTATGCTAATACAGCATTAAAAATAACTTTTCAAGTTATCATGTAATTTTCTGTAAGAAAGAGTTCAAAGAATTGAGGGTAATTTGCAGTCTTTTTATTTCCACCCCTTCGTACAATGTTTGTTACCCTTTACTCGTACAAAGAGGAAAAACAGGAATAGAATGAAGGCTGAACTGTGTCTCGCTCTGACACAGGATCATCCATAGATAACAGCACTAATAACTTTCCAGAAGACCTAATCTTTCATTCAGGAAAATATTTTGAATTAAATTTTAATTTCATCTTTTATTTATATTTGTCCAAATGGGTACTCTATTTTGTTTTGATCAGTTTTCATGAGCAATCCAGAAAAGAAAAAAAGTTTAATAATTAAGCTTCCTGGTCACCAGAATATTAAAAACTTTAAATTTCAATTTATATGTATTTGGTAGAGGGCTAAGACGGAATGGTCCACAAAAGACCGTAACCTTACAGTTAGGATCAGAACACAGTTCTGGGGGAATAAATGAAATAGGTGCGCAAGGGAAAAGGGAACGGAGTGAAATTTCCACCTGTTAGTGAATCACGTGCTCAGGTGTCCAGGAAGGTGGATACTGGTGGTCATCAAATCACAGAGGATTTGACAGTTTTGTTTTATAATGTCAATATTTAAAACATGTTGAAAATTGATCTCTATGACTAAACTATTATGAAAAATTTCAGGCGTTAACTCAAAAATAATAATTTTACAAAAACCTGTAGGGAATACGTAAGAGAAAAGATTGACGATCCCTGACCTAGAGCCGTTTTGACCCAGCAACTGACCTGTCATGGTGACCCCACCCCGAGACCAGGACGTGCTCAGGGCCCAGCCAAGAGAAGACACCAGCCGGCCTGGCCATGGTCCCCACGCTCCAGGCCGTGCAGCCCCCACAGCTGAAGCCCTGTCGGGGGCCGTTTCAGATCCTCCCCGCATCAGCCGGGCCAGGGCAGCACCCCCTGTACCAGCGGGTGGTTGGAGCCCCCAAAGGACTTAAAAATCCAACGAGAAATCTTTCAAGTGAGCCAGGGCTGCCAGAAGTGTGTGTCTGATGTCACCGCAAATCAGATCCTTCCATCCCGATCCTGCCGCCAGGGTGGGGGTGGGGGACTGAGGCATCTTTTCCTACAGAGGGTGGGGCATGTGGGTGGCGTCCCCGGGTTTGTTACTGTGACTCCTCCTCAGCACCCCCATGCACAACGAGAAAACCTGATTTACCACATTACAGTGCAGATGGATTCTCAACACCCCAGAAGGATTCTTCGCTTCACAGATGGATTCTGAGAGAATTCATTTAAATGGAAAGTCCTCTAGAGCATTTACATGGATTCTACTCACAAAATACCCATAAACAGCAAAATCCCAGAACCTGTTTTTGTTAGCAAAATGAGGCACCCTGCGACTCTGTGTGTGGGGCTGGAGATGGCATCTTTAAAAGACCGTGAGGTGACTGCAGGGGATGAGGTGGCTTTTGAGACGGTTGTGGAAGGAAGAAGCTGTGCCAGGAAAGCCACTGGGGCTGCCTGGCCAGGAGGGACAGCTGTGGTGGGCTTCACTGTGACACTTGGCTGGCCTTCCATGGCAGGCATCTGTGCCCAGGTGGACAAGGCCTCCTGGCCAGGCTTCCCCAGGTAGGACCTGCTACCATGAAAACCAGAAAAGATGCTTTTCTGAGGAAAGTGCAGCTTTCTTACAGTAAGGATGTGAGTGTCCACACAGCAGAGAACAGAGCTCTCGTGTGGTTTAAAGTGAACACAGACCCGGAGAGTCCAAACAGCAGGCAAAGGAGCCACTCACAGCCACTCAGACACACACACACTCACTCAGACAGACAGACACTCAGACACACACACACTCACTCAGACAGACAGACACTCAGACACACACTCACTCACTCAGACAGACAGACGCTCAGACACTCAGACACACACTCACTCACCCACTCAGACAGACACAATCAGACACACAGACACCCTCAGACACACACTCAGACATCACTCACTCAGACAGACAGACGCTCAGACACTCAGACACACACTCACCCACTCAGACAGACACAATCAGACACACAGACACCCTCAGACACACACTCAGACAGACACACACTCAGACACTCAGACGCACAGACAGACACACACTCAGGGAAGATGCTTCTGGTCTAGGAAAAGTGACCGAGTGCCTGTGAGCTTTGTAGATGGAAATGCCCTTAAGAACCATACAACCCTATAGAAGGCCCCGGGAGGAACAATTTTGGAAGGAGGGTGAGGAGGGGCTGATCTTTGCCACAGTGGGAAGTGCTTGCAAATTCCAGGGCAATGGGAAAAAGGTTCTCTTCACAGGGGCTTTACCTCCACACGGACAGAGCCCTGTCTTCCCAGCTCCGTGGAAAGGCAGCCTCGCAGCGTGGGGAGCACACGGCCCAGGATGGCTCGGCCCAGCTGCAGCGAGATTTCCTGCTGGTGAACGGAGACTTCGGTCCCACCTCTGTGGCCTGTGGTGAAGATTACGTGCGACAACACTGCGTATTTAGCGCAGGACCTGGACGACAGCAAACTCAGTCGGAGGCTGCACTGTTCACACACGGTGTTATCGGCAGGAGCCTGCCCTGCCACCTTCGCTGCCGTCGGTGACTGTAACACACGCCGGGTGTCTG